CGAATGCACAAATGTGCCTATACAACGAATTCCACAGACTAGTCGATGTACAAGCCACATTTTTCGTTCGAAGGACAAGTGCACCACCAATTCACTTGGACCCCGAGAGATAAATAGCTCGTTAGAAGTGAATCGTGCTTCGATGATCAGAGGGTGTGCGTGGTAGGCAGCACTACTTTATCCGATTACCACCACTGCCGTGGTGGTGTCCTATGATGCACGAAAAGGGACATACGATCAAGTTGGACGTCTTCTTACAATCACATATATATTCCGCTGTAGCAGTCTTCAGTTAGCTCCTTCTTGATGACTTCCCTCCAACTTTTCTTAGTGCTCCTCGTGGTTGCTCGTCCTCTACTACGGGTGTCCACTATATACTCTTCGGGTGGTGCTTACGTCATCTCAAAAGGAACCCATACCGTCGGAGTAGTCGCTCTCGTGCTTTCAGCTGGAATTGGAGCCGCCTGCGTGACTGTCCTGACGTCCTCGTTCCTGACTCTATCAGAGCTCAGGAAACTTGTTCAACTTTTTCGGAAGACGTACCCAGAGTGGAACCCATCAAGAGAAAGTACCTCTTATCAATTTATCGTTCATGGTAGTCATTCCAGTCATGGAACGCTTCTTTGAAATGATTTATTGGGAGGGGGGGGGGACGTACAGAGAGCATAGAAGTACATTCCGCTTTTCCTTTGCTAGAGAAAGACTGTTACTATACCACTTCAACTTTTCTTTGCTTTTTGTGCGTCACTCTGAACTTCAGATGAGACAGTGGCGCAGTGCCAGTGTTCGTCCTCGGCATGCAAGTGTGCGAGATCGACAATGCCCAACCGCAATGCTACGGAACAGTAGCGCGTTAGCTAGCTGTGGACAGTATGTCGTTTATGCGTGTCGCTGCAAGGTGCACTCACACCAACAACTTGCAGTGTCGATTTTCAACCGTTAGGCATCAAGCCTCATCTCAAGGTGGCCAAGGCGAAAGGGGAGTCGGGCAAAAGAATCGTCACTTGCCGCACCGTCGCGCGCGCGCGCAATGAGTGCGACGTTTTCCGTTGCACTTGCCGCTGCCTTTGGGATTGAATAGCATCGCCAATTTCTATGGTTAGACAAGAACATGGATAGGCACACCGCCATATGGTCCATGTTGTCACATTGCAGTTGTCCTATTGCCTCGGACCAATACCACCTAAGAATCAGTCGTCAATAGTGGGCGCGACCGTCGCAAAGCGATACGCACCGGCGAATTAGGCATTGTTTTCAGCAATCCTGGCGACCCTGATGAAGACGGCGGTTGGGCGACAAGCAATAGGTGGCGTAATCGATTCTGGGCCTGGCGAAAAAAGGCCAGGGGAGCGGTAGAGCTCATGCTTTCGGCGGGACCGAAAAACCGCTGCACGCTCTCCGACGAAACGTCCCGTCGACCGTGACGTATGCGCATACTGTTTCGCCTAACCGCCAATCAATACGTATCGAAAGCTTTTCGCCGAACCGCTTCTTTCTAGAGAAACGCTGGGCCGCGGACTGTGAACAATGCCTCACGATTCCCCTCCTTGCGCACATAGCCCAGGGAAAGGTGATTATTCGAAGGAGGTGTGGCGGAACCATGGTTAGAATGGGCAGGTGCCTTCCTAAACAGTAGCCGTTCAGAGTGTATAGCCGTTTGACGTCATCTCTCATCTAAATACTATGGAAAGTTTTTAGCGCAGTCTATTAGATCTACATGGCGTCCGTCTCTTTGCCAGCACACGTTTGACCAAGACTACTGCTTCGCACAAAGTTGTTTTGGCCTTCTCTGGGAATTCCCATCGACCACGTTTTCCACTCAATCGCATCGCATACACAATTGGAGGAACAAAAATCGCTTTGAATGCGGAGCCAGTTCAAACTCTCCAAAATCGTTCTCTGATCCTTTGAAGGACACATGCACTTCTGCGCTCAGCAATTTCAATCTGGAGTTCTGTTTCCTACGCTCGCACGGCGATGCTAGGGAGCTGCTCTCACATACTTTCAAATCATCAAAGAAAGTTGACGACGTACATACCTTGCTGGCCAAGATAAGTTGACCCTGTAAAACTTGCAATGGCGCTCCCTAGCCATTTCGTCCTTATCCATTTTGCAAACTCACTACCAGAGTGTGCTATCCTGGAGAGAGTGAGTGCGTGTCCATGTATTCAGTATGAGTTTAAAAGCGGCTGCTTATCTGTGGATATTGTCCAGTCAGGGCACAGTATCCCTGTAGAACAACAGGGGAGACCGTAATTTATTTATTTGACCGCTCCGGAAGGGAATCTTGTTTGAATGTTGATTTTTTCCATATCAATATCATATTATGAACACTTATTATAGGGTTATTTTTTATTATAGGACTTTATTTTTATTTTCATGTTTCCTAGAAATGCGCTGCCTCCGAGGGATATTGCAGAAGCAGCACAGTTGCTCTGGCCCTCGTCATCATCTTCGGTTCTTATTTTGCAGCACCTCAAATGTTATCCGCATCAGGAAATTGCGTTTTACTTGTATTCCAAAGCGCAATTACAGGACTTGGCAAAGTGCCAAGAGAGCCGCACGACACGCGCGCTTACGACGGATGTTAGCATGAACGGGAATCTGCGCCGCAAAAAGGTATAAGGCGGAGCATGGAGGAATTAGCGTGTTTCACGGTCCTGTATCTCCATTCCTGCGCATGTTAGGACGGGGAAACCGCTACGCTTCGACAGCTGGGGGCTGATAGTCACGCACACCCAAACTATGTGTGGATCGAGTGATGACCAAGGCAACACAGTAGCTTTCACTTTCTGCACTGGTCCCGCGCCACTTGTCTATTCTGGGAAAAATCTTCTTTCTCTTTAGTGGAGGAGGAAAGGGCATTCCTGTGACTGATAGCAAGCAAAGAAAAACATGGAAATAACCACACTTACAGGTACCACCGACAGCATTCTTTCATCAAAACTTTGAATGGTGCTTCTCCTTCCTGACTACAGTATCTGTGCAGATCCTTTCCTTCAAGAGGAATGAGCACGTAAAACATAGAATATTTGAAAAAAAAGCTCCAAAGCCCACTCACCACGTTTCCGTTGACCCTTATTATATGCTCCAGAGTAGGAGTGTCTATTCGCCTTCTTGGTATGATTCTCGCAAAAAAAGGCACGTAATTAGAGAAAATATTCCTTTTTGCACTTCTTATACTCAAATAATGATAGAGCTTGACCGAAACCGTCTCACAAAGGGAAGAAATATTCCACCTCAACAAGGTTTCAAGTTTGAGTTCCAGTAGGAACCGAGAGAGCAATCACTCCCCGAGACCTCCAGGTCGGATATTAGAGAGCGAGAGAGCGCGGACAGGAGGAAATTCTCTCTCGTAACAAAGGATCAGATGCCTCACAATCCTCATGAACAGGATTTGTCCGTTGTTGGATAAGGACCTGCCTACCTCACCTCGTCCTCGACAACATTCCATCGGCGGACCTTTCGTCCATGATCCCTTCAACAGTTTGAACGAACGAAGACAGCACAACTCGTCCGGGCCGGCTGCAGCATGAACATCCACGCCCACTGGCGCGGCAACCAGCAGTGCTCCACGACTGAATCGCCACCAATGCAACTTCGACTTTGCCGCGCCATTCGCCGATGCGACTTCACACATTCACAGTGAAACCGTACGTTCTCCTTTTCTCCAGATTTTCGCGCATTCTAGTACAAACCTCCTCCACTGGAACCAGATACGACACGCCCTCCAGTCGCCTTATTACGAGTTTTTTCGTGCCTGTTCCGATCTATCATGTTAGGATGTGAATGGAACGCGAGGCGGGTCGCATTTTCCGCTCGCGCGCAGCGACGAAGGGTGGGCGATCGCTCGTTCAGCCTTCCCTCGTTGGCCGGCTCGACCTGGAGCACCGCAACTCGCAGTGTAGATCCTGCTCGCGTAGACATATCTGAGACATTTCATGACTATTTCCGGTTCTGAATTGCCTGTTGTCGCCATCTACTACCTGGAACCATCGTCATTTGCGGGCGCGACGTCGCACGCGACGCCCACCAGCGCGGCGAATTACGATTCTCTTGTCACATACCAGGTGTGAATATCTTCCAAATATCTACATCGACCGAAACTGCGTCTTCTCACTTTTCTCCATAGAAAAGTGTTAATGTGCCTGTCAGGTAAATTGCGAGAAAATCGACTTTACTTGTATAAATTCCATGCCTACAGCGATGTGATTGAGTTTTCCTATCAAACATCAGTAGAAAATCAATGAGAATTGTGACATAATAATGATCAGATACAGAGGCATCCAACAAATCGTATCACAAACACGCAGCAATCGAGAAATATGTGCCCATTTCAAAATCCTTGAGAGAATCTCATCATATTGCCAATCACATTTACCGACCAATGTCAATGTTAACACGCAAAAAAAGGGAAACATTTCATTTCAATTTGCAAGACAAAGGTATGTGAGGGGATGGAGGGGCATGCAATGTCATTTCTGCTTATCTGTATCTTCTCAGCAAATATAGAATTCGTGAAGAGGCCTAGCCTAGGGGTTCGGAAATACGTGACGATGCAATTCAAGAGGAGTATGACTTGACATAGTACCACCGTGACCCCCACCCCCTCGCCTACCGAGTTTCTTACCTGATATGAATCATTCGCCTAGGATATAACACAATATTTGGTCTCCATAACGTCAATCAGTTAAAGGGCATATAACTGTACATTCAAAAAAAATCAATAAGACCATGAGAAGCTTATTGAGGGATTCCATATAATGCATCTTCATGGAAGAACAAAAATAAGGCAAATGATTAAAAATTACACGATTTAAAAAAGACGTTAACACGTGGAATTTCACAAATGCCAGATGTTACATCGCAGAGTGAAACTTATAAAAATGGATACATAAAAGTAGACACTTTAAGATATGACAGGTAAAAATTAACAAAAAAAATTGTAAGATAATACCTTGGGAGGTTCATATCTAAATGGATAAAGTGCTCATAGATTTTCACGGATCGCTGCCATCAGAGTCCTCTTCAGAACGCCGCATATTCAACAACCTATGGAATTCCCCAGCAGATATTCGCGAGTCCAGATCCACCAATGGCTCACAAGAGCTCGCACGAGGTCCAATATCTATCGTGTCCACGCACTTGAAAGAAAGATTAATAGCAAGGTTTATTGTTCTAGCCGAGCTAATCAATCATCAAATTCTGAGAGAAACCGGTCATTCAAAAAGACCTGTTAGGACTACGTTCAGACTTCGAGATGACGCGCGTCGGCAGGCTACCACTGCAGTAACGCTCCGATGCATAGACGAAAACGCAGCCATAGACGGTTATGGATCCGCCGATCCTTTGTGTTTCCAGGCAAAGTAGAAGAATAGGAGGGTACCAGACCGTGTGATTAAGCAAAGCCTTCTATTCTCCTATATTCTTCCAAAACACTAGCGTCCAGCAACGACCTATACCCTCCTATGGCTGTGTTCCCGTCGTGGCTACACAAAAACGACTGACAGAGGCTTTAAAAAACGGACTATAGCTAAAAATAACGCAGTAAAATGCTGAGATAGGATTGTTCACAAGTGACAGGAAAGTGAGAAACAACCCGTCATAGGGAAGGATAAAATCTCGAGACCATGAAACGTCCAATCATATCCTTGAAAGCCCTGACACTACAAGACGTCGTTCTATTTCTTTGCAGCTCATATGATCAGCACCAGTCCTGATTGCAGGGAAGTATAACCCCAAATCATGCCTATTGCGACGCAGTAGAGGTTCGAGAGGGTTTCCCCTGGTCACTGATGGCCGCACCCCACCGAGCTGGTCAGCCAGGCCGCACCTGCCATGAAAGATCTTGGGTAAAAATGTGGTCAACTATTCTCCTCCTATAGGATAGAGAATGCATCTTAATATTTTCATTCCTAACCGTGCTGAAAAGTAGACCTCACAGGGGAAGCCTAAAACTCCGACAATCAATTTCCTTGCAAAGGAATTCCGAGCATATACGAGCGTTTAAGTTACTTCTCATCCAGTTACTTCGGTGTATTCAGATCTCCTTTACTCGAATGAGGAACCATCGGGCTCGCGTCTGGTTTTGTTAATTTCATTTCATGTGATATGAGAACAATACAAACCTCAGAAGTATCAGGCATACTACAAGCACGGCTAGCCGCACCGGTGCTACTTTGACAGTCCTCATCGTCGTCGTCATCATCGCTAGTGACTCCAAAATGAGCTGCTCCATCAGGACTACAAACAAAAAAATAAACGCTTGTCGCAAACTCATTTTCTATAACTATTACATTGGAAGAAAGTAACGATAGGGCGCTAGTGTAAAACTGATGTTTAACTGATCGTTCCTGTTAGAACTGGTAGCGGCTGGAAAATGGGCTGTTCCGCTTGGTGGGGGCACTTCAATGGTTCCCATCGACTGCAGCCAATGCCTCCTATGGAAGCTGTAAAGTGCTGAAGAACTATGGGATAGCACGAGCTTTGATTACACTTGACAACAGCCATCAGGTCTTGTCAAGGCAGGACGTGTAAGTCAACAACAAACAAAACAAACTAGTGTAAGTGTGTAAATGCCCCTGTCAAGCCGAACAGCGCCGAAAAATCAAAAAGATAGAAGCGCTAATAGCATCAATTTCTTTCAAATCTGATGGCTTAACGGTGCTTCTCAGTGACCTCAAATCGAGCAGGAATGAGACTGCTTCCGAACCGCGAGAGAACTATCTTTTGAGAATGTCACATTTTCTATGAATATTTCCGTTTTCAATCTTATTGAAAGTATCCAGAATTTCCAGTAACCTTTGGGCAGAATGCAGTCGATGCAAACTCTCCGCCCCCCACCCACCTCCACCCCGACTTCATCCCAGACTTTTTCTATAAGTCTAATAGCACCAACATAGGACAGTATTTTATGAATAAGTATTCAAGGAAGGACTTACAGAGCTTCTCGAGATTTGAAAAAATCTTACCGGTAACTGGTGGGTTGACACACAGCACCTGTTTCGAGATCGTAATACAGCTCGGCACCAGGGAATATTGCTCTGTTAGATGATATCTGAACAAGGAGGAATAAACTTGCTGCCGCGGTCCCTTTACAGCGTCAACAACTCTCACAAACCTGGAAATATGTGTGTTCTGGAAGATGCTTGGCCACTGGTATGTACCGTCGCTGGTACATATCTTCCAATCTAGGTCGCTTCACCTCCGTACTGTACTCCATATCGCCATTCTTTTCAGAGCTCTCAGATATTTCAAGCTGTTTCATGATCTAAAAGAGGTTCCTCACTATTTTTCTTTATTTTTTTTTGGCGCAAATCGGCTTTGGTGGGGGTCGTTTGCTGGCTTTCCACCGATCAGTCGATGCCTCCTGCTGGGACCTGTAAATTGCTGTGAAGCCTGTGCAGTAGCAGGAGCTTCGTTCACAGGTGGCAATTCTACGGGACTTATCAATGTGAGATGTGCAAATAGACAGAAACTAGCAAAAGCAAGCTAGCAAAACTGCAAAAACGCCCCTCCCCCAAGCCGGCCTCTTAATACTATTTGTCATTTGTGAGAAAATTATATTTTCCGCTGGCATGGTTCATGGAAGAACAAGCAGCTCACCTGGAGGAATTCCTGCTTCTCTGCAATCCGCCTTCTTTTCCTAACTAACTTCGACATTGTCACGGTGTTTGTGGACTGATGTACCTCTGCATGACAAGAATGCCCATTTGTTTCGGAGCCCCTGTGCCCATTCACCTTATTTTCTAAAACAGTCACTTGAACATGACGTTCGCCAGAAAGAGAAACAAGAATTACTAACGGTGAGCCTCCAGCATTTCGACGAAAGGCCCGCCAAGAGCTATGCAGATGTCTTCAATAATTTCATCGCAATTTCCAAGGAGCTCTATATCAGCTTGATATCCCGATAGTGGTTCGCTAAAACAAAAATGCTATGTCGACGAAATTTATTGGAATCGTGTGAATGCATGATTACGGAAAACGGCTCACCGATTGATCAGGATCTGAGGGATGTTTGGATCGACACTGAATGGAATAAGTGATACTGGTCTCACTTTTAGCGAAGATCCTGAAGAAACCATAGTCCAATAAGTAATACCTGACACTGCCTAAGAGCGCGTTCATACATCGAGACCCAACCGCGCGATATAAGGCCGCGCTCACACTTTGACTGAGGAGATTCGGCGACTGAAGTAGTTCTTGGTTTGGGAGCGATGAGAAACTCACAGGCTTTTTTCATAGGATTTACCTGGCGATCTGAACAATATTGAGTGACTATTTGAGAGATTTACGATTTGGCGTTTTGGAAAATCGCCGAATCGCCGAGTCTCCGCAATCGCTAGCAAGCGGCGCCGATCTATACCCATCCACTTCTTTGGTGCGCAATCGTCGGAAATTCCGAGTCTCTCAAACGTCAGACTGCTCAATCTCCGCAAT